GTCTGTCCAGAAGATATTTTACTCAACCTGCCACGTCAGCTCTTACCCAGGAGGAGCTCAGTGTAGAAGAAGTTCTGTTGTTTAAACCCAAATGATGTGCATGAGTTTGAAGAGCATCGTCCCTCAGAGCTCGTGCGCACGCTTCAACGAAGCTGATGAGAAAACGTTAGAAACAGGAATCTGAGTTCATCCGTTTATTTCTCCCAGTCTCCGCTGTTTGGAGACTTTTAACGTGTAAACTCAGTTTACAGCTTGGGACTCCACACGCTCCGGTCTTTAGACAATAAAGAAGAAGTCCAGTTTGAACTCCCGTTTGACCAAGTTTAGTGAGAAATGTGAGCACAGCCTCCGTGTGAAGGTCGGGCTGACGGTCAGGACTTGTTTGGGGTCAACTCTCTGAGAGCACAGTTGTTCTCTAACTTCAACTGCTAGATGATGCAACGTCCCATGAAATGACGCAGACTTTGTGTTTTGGCACAGGAAACACCGAGGCCGAGCTCCTGCACACCTACAGCAAGGTGGATCCCCTGGACACGCTGATCCTGTGTGTGCGGCTGGCCGTCCTGGTGGCCGTCACCCTGACCGTGCCCGTGGTCCTGTTTCCTGTAAGAGCACGACGTTTCTTACACCAGAACATCTGAAGTTCTGTTAAAACAGGACGTCCGTCTTCCCGACAGATTCGCCGAGCCCTCATGCAGCTGCTGTTTCCAGGAAAGTCCTTCCACTGGGCACGCCACGTCGCCATCGCCGTGTGTCTGCTGTTCGCCGTCAACCTGCTGGTCATCTTCGTTCCCAACATTCGAGACATTTTTGGAATTACAGGTGCATCATTAAACACGAGTACAACTGTTTATTAGACAAGAGGAAGAAACAAAACTAGAGACTGGTTCTGGCTCAGGGTGCTCCAGTGTCTGGTCAGAGTCTTAGAAGAGGGTTAGGTTTTATTCGTGCACTTGTTTCTTGAAGCCGTTCATGTAAAACAAAGGATTTGTCGACTTGAAGCGTTGTTTAACTTCTAAATGATTCATTTTTTACCTGTAGCTCGTTGAACACTTTTATTTTGAAGGAAAAAGTTGAATTCTAACTGGACTGATGACTTAACGTCTGGTCTGAGCAGCACCAGGACCAAAGGGTTTACAGAACTTTACACGATGAACTTTGACACCGTCAGTTTCAGATGAGACCTCGTGGCAGACAAAGAACTCACTGCTGGAATTATTTCTCTTTGGATAACTGGGAACACCTTGAGATCCTTCAGAAGGAGCTGGAGGGTGTCACTGGGGAGAGAGGTCCGGGCTTCACTCCTAAACCATGGGTGGATGGATGATGGATGGATGGATGATGGGTGATGGATGATGAATGGATGGATTGTTGATGAATTGATGGATGGATGGATGGATGGACGGACGGTTGGATGATGAATGGATGGTTGATGGGTGGGTTGTTGATGAATTGATGGATGGATAGATGATGGATGGATGGTGATGGATGATGAATGATGGATAGATGATGAATTGATAGATGATGAATGGATGGCTTGTTGATGAATTGATGGATGGATGACGGCTGGATGGACGAACAGATGGATGCGTGGAGATTCTGGGACCGGATCAGTTCTTGGACGGTACCATCAGTTTTAGTTTTGGTCTCCGAGGATTTGTTGGACCAGAAACTGAATTGTCGTTTCTTCTCGTTGTCCAGGAGCAACCACCGCTCCTACCCTGATCTTCATCCTCCCTGGGCTCTTCTACATCCGAATTGTTCCCAAAAACCAGGAACCCATGAGCTCCAGACCAAAGATCCAGGTCCGTATCTCGAGGTGAAGGTTTGAAACCCCAGAACTCGGTCAGGAACATCTGTGTGTTTGCAGGCTGCCTGTTTCTCCGCTTTGGGCTTCATCTTCATGATCATGAGCCTGACCTTCATCGGCATCGACTGGACGAGTGGAGAGAAGCGAAGCCTCGGCGGCCATTAATGACCAACTTTCCCACCCCTGAAACATCTGCAGCTCCCTGCGGCGACCCCCGCTCCTCCAGCGTCCCGGTGCTCCGACCGGGACGCTTGTTTCCATCTGCTGCTGGAAGGCTCGGGCTGGTGGGACTGTTCCGGTTAATTTTAAGGACAATCCGTTTCTCCTTTTGAGACAAGGCGTCCTCTTTTGTCCCGCCACCCAATCAGGTTTCAGTTCACCACCAGGATCCACGGCAGACGGCGTTCTTCCGTTCTCCACCAAGAGCCGAGGAACGCATCGACCCTGTAGGAGTCTGAACCACGGGATGATAATGTGGGATAAAAAATCTGCTTCTCTGAAAACCAAAGGTCTTTGGAAGAAAATTAGTTCGGTTACAAAAACGCTTCAAACGGAACGCGACCGTGTCCGACGCTTTAATGTGAGTATATTTCTTCTACAGCGGAGCGGCAGAGTTGATGCGTGAAACCGTTCTCGAAGGGTTTGACGCCGAGATTCTGAAGCGCAGAAAACCAAAGAAAGTTTCTAGAGCCTAAATGTGTTCATGCAACTGTGAACGTGTTAATTTGGTGTAATTTGTACGTAAAGTTACCGTGAACTGCACGTGTTTAATAAAAATATATTACAACCTTTGTGTTTATGGCCTGATTTCAACATTTTAAATCGTCCGTCGATTGTTGAGCTAAAACTTGCACTTGTCTTTTAGCCGTTTTACCTTTAAACTTCCATCTGCTGCCCAGAACTCCAACAGCTCTTTCCTAAAGCTCAACCGGTACAGGTGCACCGATCCATCCGCCCCGATTTCCTTAAAGTTGGTGATCGGCCGATACACGAGAAGATTGTTTTAGTTTTTAAACTTCATTTATATTTCAGAGCACTACCTCACGGCCAGTTAAAACAAGTTTGTATCGTTTGTTCAAAGTATGTTTTTCAATAAAATGAGATGGAGAACTGCAGGTGCGTTGTGACATCATCACCTGACACCGTCGCTTAGAAAACTGTCGTATCGAATCAGGTCAGACTTTTTGGAAATCGGTGATCAGCCAGAAAATTTCAGTCAGTGCACCCCCGACATTATTTTGGAATTATGACCGAACCAGACTCTTATTTTGAAGAATGTCTACTAGCTTTATTTTGACACCAAGTTAAACCCTCTTCCTGTTTGTTTGGGACATATTCAGTTCTACTTAAAGTTCTGATCAGAACAAAGTTCTCAAATCCTTCAAGATTCATGGCAGCTACCATGACGGAACGATAGGTAGAACAGGATCAGCCGAGTCACTGGTTGCCGTGGCGATTCCCGCCGTTTCAGGTGAGCAGGGGCGGGGCCAAACATTTTTTACGCAGAGCTTGTAAAAAAACGGTACAAAACACTTAAAATATTTAGCGTAACAGCTGACACATTTTGAAGTGTTTTCATTAATGTTTTCTAAATCAACTGCATTAAAAAACACATGGATGTGAAATGCAGCGTCATTTGTGAACGTTAAACCTACTTTGAAGAACATTTTTAGTTCTTTCCACAGCCCAGTCTCATTACGACTCGGGGCTACACGGGCTCAGTGGCTTTAGATTCAACTTGAAGGTCGTCTCAGTGTGGACAGGATTGTTAAGACGTGGCCGCCTGAAGCTTCTGTCCACGACAAACATCACAGCAACGAACAAATACATGAAATGAAGTCACAACGCACCGTCTGTCACGTTCCTGCAGTGGACGGGTCGCCGCGCCCGTAAATCTGGACCATTGGGTCTTTGTCTGAACTCTGTCTCTGCCAACCTCAGTGTTGATCAGTGGGCCGACATTTTGATACACAGCGTTTTTAAACAGGAAGTGCTGTTGGTAGAACTGTCCAGGTGTCCCTGTGACGGACTGGAGACATGTCCAGGTGTCCCCGTGACGGACTGGAGGCCTGTCCAGGTGTCCCCGTGACGGACTGGAGGCCTGTCCAGGTGTCCCCGCCTCACAGTGACTGCTGGACACCGGCACCAGTGACCCAAAAGGTTAAAGGACAACATTTGAAAAGTAAAAGATGTCCAATGTGCCGGTGAGAGGTTTTAAAAGCGTTGGGTTCGATTCTTGTGAAGGTGCGCTCGTGTTAGACGTCGCCCTTTGACTCGGCTGCTTGGAACTTCGGCCAAGTCGGTCCCAGGAACCGAGTCGCGGGCGGGTGGTGTCACCGACCCAGTGGCACTGAGGCCACGTCGAGTGGAGCCCGTGGGAAAAGTCCGTACGTGTGCTGAACAAACATGCGCTGATAGTGAGGCTGTAAAATACCGATGTCCACAAAATGATTTTAATAAACGGATCTGCAGAAGGTTCTGACGGTTTCGTGGCGTCTTTTTTTTCTTCTGGTGTTTTATGTTAAGAGATAAATGGAAACGACCCTCGAAGTTTTAAAGAGACGGTTCTGTCGGTGAGTTTGGATGTTGGTGGAGTTTCTCCGGTGTCAGACGTCACGTTGTGCTGCGTAAAAATATTCAGTTGAATTATCTGAAGGAGCTCCTCTCGCTGCCCAGCGTTTACTAAAGTGCAGTCTGTGCTCAGCTCCAGGCCTGCTCTGTGAAGGACTCTCAGAGACTACCACACCAAGCCCACGCAGCGCTTCAGGACCACGTCCCGTCTGTAAGGCGTCTTTATTCAAAGCGCTACCGGTGCACAGCGGTTCTGTGCTGCCGGGTCGGCTTCCATTCCTCTACATTCAGAACAGTTTCAGTTCAAAGGTCAACAAAACAGAAAAACTCTGAAAAGGAAACAATTTGTCATTAAAGGATTTGAAGTCAGAGATTTGTTCTGGAAACGTTTCCTGACGGGACCCCCGAGTCCAGTTTCGCATCAGAACCGAATCCTTGAGACGGCAGAACGAGCCACAGGATCCACATCGCTCACGTTCATCAACGTCTGCGGGGTTTGGTTTCACAGAACCAGAACCAGAACCCGTCAGCCTTCTCGGACTTTAGCAGCGAGAGCAGAGTTCTCCTGTCGGATCGCCCGGTAGTCGTCCAGGATCCTCTCCAGGTTCGACACGGTTTTGTTCCCGTTTTCTGTCTCGATCTGAGGAAACAAACAAAAACATGTTTAACGTCCCGAACCTGGACAGTTCTCAAATAATAATTAATTATTTATTCACGTCTTTCTTTACTTTGTTTGTTTATTCATTTATTCACTTGTTTGTTTACTTTATGCAGTTATTTATTCATTATTAATTTATTCACTTGTTTTATTTATTCATTTGTTTGTTCACTCGCTCATTTAGAACATTCAGCAGCACCAAGAAGTAAAGCGCAGGATTAGGACGCTGCGAAACGTCCCTGAATTTATTTTTCTCAGAATTTTAAGGAAAAAATAAATTGAGGAAAAAACAAAACCATCAGATTAAAACTGAATAAAGTTGCAGCACGGTGATCCCGATCGTGTCCCGTAAGAAATGTGCAGTGAAATGGTTTGAAAAGTGTAAAATTTAAATCACGTTTAAAGTTTGAGGTTGAAAAATCAAAACACGTGAACTCTGTGGAAAACGACAAATAAAAAATTAACACGAAAACAGGCTGAACGTAACAAATGCACCAAGAAAAGAGTTGAAATTTTACTTTAACTTTTCTGCAGAGTAATTTTAGTTTGCTTTAAAATCTTAGTGTTTCTGAAGCTCAAACATTTATCAACTTTAAAAATCAAAATAAAGGACAGTATTGGGCAGCACGGTGGTTTAGTGTTTAGCACCGTGTGAACTTACTTATGTTGTTATAGTTAAAATGATTTTATTAGTTTTCTTGTTTTTGATGGACCTCAGCTGAACAGGTTTAAAAACTGTGAGAATTAAAAGGTCTTTATTTTGTAGATTTGTTGGATCATTATTAATGTGGTGTTGGTCTTCGTCGGTCCTACCTGCTCCTCCAGGTCTCGGATCTCTCTGAGGATCGTTCCCGTGTCCTCGATGGTTCGGATCAGCTGATTACAGTTCTGCAGAACATCAGGGGACAAACACGGACCATCTGAGACGAATCATCAAAAGGACAAATATGACACCCTGAGGGGGAAGACGCACCTCGTGCAGGGCGGCCAGGTACTTGTAGGACTTTCGGACGGACTCGTCTTTCTTGGCGTCCTGCGTGTGACCCAGAATCAGAGAGGTTCATTCATGAATGGAAGAACAACAAGCTAAAACGACAGGAAGCTAAACC